TCACTTGAGTTTGAGCGGTTTCTTTCTAGGAAGGGTCCCTGAGATAATCATGCAGTTTTCAGCGAGAAAAAAGTTTAGTTCTTGACTCCAGGTTTCTGGAGGGTCATACATCTGAAATTGCAGGGCAGTCAACAGCGTGATTTATGACCCATAGCTTCAGGAGTCAGCTTGACTTGAGCCTTTAAGAGAGGAAAGAACAATCGAGTGTGTTTTCCCAAGTCCTTCTCTTTGCAGATCAAATGGTAGTCTTTGTAGCCAAGCACCCATCTAAAATAACATCAATATTTCAGTCTCAAGGGGCAAGCCAGTCTCAAAGGCTTGTGAACTGTCAGCACAATTAAACCAAGACTCTGGCATGGCACAAAGACATTTCCCAGAAACCTTAGGCCCCAAAGAAGACTTATGTCAAACATTAGATAGAATAGTTTCAGATTTCTCAAGAAAAGGAAAATTGCAGTAATATTTATAAGGGGAATCGGTACAAATCCAATGTTTTCCTAAAGTCATCAGTTCTCAGCATGGGAGTTTTTTTTGAATAAATAATGTGGAGTTAGTGTGAATTTTTGGTGTTTGGAAAATTTATTAGCAAAATTAACCTCAGGAACATTGCCCTCTTCTGGAAGTCCTTTTAAATATCTTTTCTGCGGAGAGGTGTAATCATGCACTATGAATTTAATGAGGAACATATATGTATCAGGTCTTTTTTTCTAAACCTCGCCAATCAAATATACATGTTTCAGTCCTTTCCAGTTGCAGTACAATTGGAAATGTCCCGTTTGGAATGCTGCTGACCTTAGGGTCTGAGAATTGTGATACATGCAGATTCTTTTTGCTGTTTTCAGAAGAGTTGGCATTTAGCAAATTAGTGTGTAACATCATTTATATTTGTTAGCTTAAGCAATCTATATATCATTCTCATTTTCCAGAAGAGGAAGTGGAACAAGCAAAATAATATGAGAGACAAATATTGAAACTACAGAAGGACTGAATGAGGCAGACACTAAAATGACTTCAGGTCTTGTTCCCATTGGCTCTGATAGTGGAGCACAAGCTCTGCTTATCTGAAGCCAGAAATTGTTTAAGAGAATGTGGCCTGAAGATAGTAGACTAATTGGTCAAGAAACAAAAGTGGATTGAGGGTTGGGGATATTATCCAGTTAGCAAGCTAAGTCCTACACAATTACAGTAAGATAGGAAATGACATTTTTTTCCTCATCAGACTTTTAAAAGACATGGCAGTGAAAGGGGTTTTGGTCAATCTTGTCAGCTAAGTGACCTAAAAGAGCGGAAATACAGAGGGCTGCAACAGCTGAAACAGAGCACCTTGCCCTGCTGAGATGTAAGAGGTCTAAGCAGGGAATCTGTCCCACTCTCATGGTAGCCTCAACCATCCCATGATGGCAGGATGAAGTCTGACAAATTCTGGATAAAAACAAATGCAACTGAATTTTCACCCTGACACTCTCATGCTGTTTTGCTTAATGTGCTGCAATTCAGTTCAGTGAACATTTTTGAGCACCTCCAATTTTTTTTAATGAACCCTAGTGCTACTATCAATGCTTCTAGAATATTTATAGTAATGAATTTGTTGTGCAACATAGCAGCAGGTCATTAATCTCTTTAAAGTACAATTTAATGCAATGCTTCATGACAGGAAGCAAGCAAGATAATAAAAACCTTTACTGCTTAAAACCACACTTAATATTTTTATGGCCCAGCCAGCTTGACAAAATATTCTTTGTGAGTCATCACTTCAAAGTGAGGCCCTGGGGGCTTATTAAAGGCCTAACAGCAGGCCTCATGACTATTGTAGAAGGCTCCCCAAACTTTAACTGCTCAGGCAAGAACTTTTAAGCAAGAAGGACTACATCAGAGGGACACTGCAGATTGCCCTTATGTTTCCCGTGGTCTAGGGAGCCATGTGACCAGGTGCGTTTATTTTAAACCTTTCAATCATGTTTTTGACAGCTTAGCTTTTGTATGGTTTTACCTTTCCTTATAACTGATCACATTCTACTCACTAAAGAGATGATAAAGTGTTACATCTGCAGTCCCCAACTCCCAGGCTGTGGACCTACACCGGTCTGTGGCTTGTTAGGAACCGGGCCACACAGCAGGAGGTGAGCAAGGGAAGCTTCCTCTGTGTTTACAGCTGCTCCCATCACTTGCATCACCGCGTAAGCTCCGCCTCCTGTCAGATCAGAGGCATTAGATTCTCATAGGAGCAGGAACCCCACTGTGAACTGTGCATGGAGGAATCTAGGTTCTGCACTCCTTATGAGAATCTAATGCTTGATGATGTGAGGTGGAGCTGAGGCAGTGATGCTAGCGCTGGGGAGCAGCTGCAAATACAGATTTCATTAGTAGAGAGGTTTGACCGCACAGTAAATGTAATGCGCTTGAACCATCCCCAAACCATCACTCACTGCGGTCTGTAGAAAAATTGTTTTCCATGAAACTGGTCCCTCGTGCCAAAAAGGTTGGGGACTGCTGTCTTACATGGTCCTATCTAGTTTGTTTAGAATTTAAAAAAATTCTGTCAAGTTCATTAAGATAAAGATTTAACTTGGAGCTGTTTGCAAAGTAACTGAGACGAGAAACAATTTGTAATGAACCAGCCATTGCCTTAGTGTTTGGGCACCAGCCAGGACTGCCTTAGCACTGATTGTAAACAAAAATAAGAGCAAATAACGGAATACAGGAATCTCTTTAGCTTGTATATAGGACATATTAACCTTACTGCTTCTCTCATAAATATTTCGATGATCTCTTTCCAGGAATTAGAAATCCCATGGATTACGTCGATACCCTTAATAATGTTTTAAATTCTTCACAGTCAGAAATATTTTCTATCTACATCTTGTCTAAGTCTTAACAATTTGTTGTGTGAAAGCCATTTCCCCTTCTCCTTAGATTTCAAAGGGAAAGGAGTTACTCATCACTTACAAATTATTTATTGAACATGTTCCATCCACCAGATACCATTGTCGACACAGGCAGTTTAGCAGGGAGCAAATAGAGTCCTGCCCTTGTGGTGTTTTCATTCTGCTGAGCGTTGTCTTACGTAGTATAAACCTTCTTCCATGTGAACATGACCAGCCAAGCTCTTCTGTTGCCCAACAGGAACCTTCCATGTTTCTCAAAGGAAGCCACTTATTAAAACTAAGTGGTTATCATCTGGCTTTCATCTCCTTTTTCCACAACTTTTCAATTTCTTTTTTCCCCACTCTCTGCTTTTCCTAATGTTTTACCTCTTGTTTTTCATTCTTCAAATACCCTCAAAAAGAAAAGAAAGTAGAAAGTAAACAAACACAACCCCCCCCCATATAAACACATGGTTGGGGATTGGTGTTCTCCATCTTATCTCTTTAGGAAAAAAAAAGCATTTTGAAAACAGTAGCTAAACCTATTTCCAAGTAGACTTACTTGGGTTCACGTATTCACTCATTTATTTATTCATACAGTATTTTTTTTTTATACAGTATTTTAATTATTTATTTATTTGTAGAAATGTCTACACTGTAGGAAGGTACAAGGAGAAAGTAACCCACACTCGTATTCCCGCCACCCAGAATCAACCACAGTTAACATCTTGGCGTAATTGCTTCCAGTCTCGTGAGCATTTAACGTGGAGTTATAAGAACAACCCTAAGCCTAATAATAAATACTTACCCTGTTCAATAGCACCTAACTCAGTAACAGTACCCATTAGGTACTTAATTATACTCATTTAACTAAGAAGAAGAGTGAATGATTTTCGTGGAATTTTCTCAAAACGTCTCTTGAGATGCAGCTGAATGACTTGCTGTAGCTCTTTGTTGCAAAGTCTTCATGTCCCGACTCCCACTTCAGGGTCCTCACCACATGGCCACAAGGCTTGTCTGTGTACATACGAGCATAACCCGGCAATGGCTCTTCTGTTATCTACAAAATATTTGGGTGTGGGTTTGGCGGTTGGACGCTACTGAACTCAAAGACTCTTGTGAACTCAGACTTAACCGCAAATGATTAAAAACACACACACACTCCTCTCTCTCTGTCTCTGTAGCACACACACACATACACACACCACTGGCTAAAATAATTAAAAAATGTTTAATATAAATCATTTCTGACAGTGATTGCCCCTGGGGGAGGGGTAGCAAGTTACACTGGGAACTGGCCCAATTTCTTCCCAAGTCATGTATCCACTGGCTGGGAGGAATTTCCCAGCAAGCCTCTCCCACCCATTTGATCCTCTGGCAGCCTTATTTCAGGGATTGAGTGTGTCTGAGTTCAGGTCTGATAAGTGACAGACAGAGAATAGTTCAGTGCTTCTCACGCCTCTTGCAGGGAAAGGGATTTTTTTTTTTTTCTGTCTTGGTTGGGGTTATGGTGGGGTGTTAAGATGGGCAGATTAGCTCCAGGTGCATCTTGTTTCATTCCTTAACTTTCCTTCTCCTTTCACCCCCGAACCCAGTAGAGGATCAGACAGGTTTGGTTCGCCCTTCCCCCTGTCCAAGAGGGAGAACCGAGCTCACAGAAGGCAGCGAGAGCCCTGATCTGAAGCTCTTGTTTGACTCCAGGCCAAGTGCTTCAAACAGCAGGTCTTTCATAGCTGGGAAAACCCCAGCTAGACCTGCTGGACGCACCACACAACCACATACGGCTCAGCTCATGTCAACAGAACTGATAACCAAATTGGGCTTCTTGGCTTCCTGTCCCGGGCAGCCTTGCCAGCCCGCTACCCTCCAAGTCCCAATTTACACGCGGCTATGCTATAACCATGAGGCAGGAGCCGAGGGTTTGTTTACCACATAGTTAACAGGCAAATACAACTTAATCACAAGGAAAACAGCTTTTATGAGAATCATCTCGAGGTCCTTCTACAGCCCTATTAAGCCATCCGGAAAGCCAAAACCTAGAGTTCCCTCCGATTTCATCCCTGTTAGAGGAAAGGCCAGCGGGGACAGGTGGAGAGGCCCATGGTCTTGCTTCTTGACTATTTACAGCTGCCAGGCTAACTGAATGTCTCTCCCCACTCTGAAGGGCTCTCCAGGTGCTCACGCTACGCGATCCTTCTGTGATGAGCTGCAGGTGACTTTGGAAAGGACCACAGGTTGGTGAGGAATCTATCTTTTAAGCAGATCCTGCTTTTGCACACAATCTCTGTGTGGAAGTCTCTTGTGTTACTGACTCTCTTTTAAAAAGGGGGAAAACTAAGGCTGGGCAAGGTTGAGTAATTTTAGAAGATTACACAGTTTTAGTGCAGAAATTTGGATTGAACACAGGTCAAATGGACTCCAAAGGCCATTTCTTTCGATTCCGTTTCTTCTTCTATCAGAATGTCTGCATTCTAGCTTCGGGCCTCATAGTGGTTGGTCACTGGATGCTGAGCAAATCCCTTAATAGCTTAGCACCAATTTCTTCATCAATGAAATGGGGTTGTGGGAGAATCAGGTTTGATAGCGTGTACTTGGAAGGTCTCACGCCCAGCCCAGTGGGATCACTTGCACTGAAGAAGGAAGCACTCCTGGGCCAGATAGTGGCCTTTCAGAATCATAGTTTATTAAAGCTTATTGGTTGAAAATGAAGAGAGTGGATATTTTATTTGAAATTCTGATTTTTAAAAATCAGTAAACATTTATACAACACCTGCAGCATGTCTTAAGCCGTAGAATACTCATGAATAGAAATGATGTCTGTCCTTCAGGTTTATAATCTAGCCATGGGAACTCAAACTTAAGTGTTCAAAAGAATCAACTGCACTGGGGAAGGGCTTTGCAGACATCCTTAGTTACTAACCCAGCATCCATCTGCACCTTTTCTCTTTCCTAACAGGGCCTTGATTTTGCCCATCAATTCTCCCTCCTGCATACTGATCCCATCCCTAGCTCCAGGTATGACGGTAATATGCGGGAAAATTTGCTGAGCTTCTGGGAAAAGTTCTTTAGGGAGAATTGGAATTTCAGACCAGGTTAGAAAGATTCATCATTTCTCAAACTGTGATCTATTCTTACTGAAGTTTTGCAGAGAGGTTTAAATCATCTTCTCATGTGAAAAATTTTTTTTTGCTCCTTTTCATGTATATGAATATAATCGTATTGATACTGTCATTTATTTAATCTAACTTTTAGCATTACCGAGACATGAGAATACAAGGAAGAAAAAGTTGTGGTCTTGCAATTGGATTTTCTGGTTGTAATGCAGTGGTAGCCCGCATGACCTAAGTGCTGAATGATTTATAATACTGAGGGTCTATGTCATTCAGGGCAAAACAGGTGGAACTAGAGATTATTGCTACAGGAGTTCTGAGAAGAAAGAGGGGCTGGTAAAGTTGGGAAGAAGGAAAAAAGTCTTAACTGGGGTCTTGAAAGGCAATTAGAGTTTGTATATTTAAAGAGGCAAGGCAGGTCTTTTCAAACACGAGGAAGGAAAATAGCTTAAGTAAAATCACAGAGATAGCAACAAGGAAGGCATTTCTGGAGTAAAGTATCCACTCTTCACTTTGGAATATTGGATATGTAGGTCTTGAATGCTGCAGTAAGAACTATGGGTTTTATTTGTTGTCATTGGTGAGCCATCAAAAGTTCCTGGGTGGGAAATTGCATGAAGAAATATTTGTTTTAGAGAAGGTAATCTGAGGGCATTGGGCATTAATAGTCCTCAAAAGTACCATATTGGTGCTATGGCCTATCATTAATTATCATCATGATAATTTCTTTTAGGTTTTGAATGATTTTTTTTCCAAGTCATTTGGGCTTTGGGAGCTGTGTTGATACACAGTGTGATAGCTGAGTCTAGTTTTCACTGGCTCTTTTAAGTTTCTTTCTTTTTCTTTGCCTCGGCCTCTGTCCATCTCTCTGTAACACCCACCAATACACACACACACAGATGTATGCACCCACCCCCCTTCTCTCCCCTATACCCCAGCAGGCAGACTTGTTTCTGTTACTGTCCATATGCCTCATCCTTGATTCTTCATTTCCCTGGCCAATTCTTTTTCTTTAAATGTCATAAGAAAACCCAGGAATTAATTTGCTTTTTTACTAGTTCATCTATTCTACATTTATTGAGATCCTATTTGGTGCCAAGTACTGAGGTAGCTTTTGGAGACACCAAGTTAAGACATAGTAGCTGTCCTTTAATGTCGATATAGTGGGAAAGATGAATGTACAGTAGGTACTCGCTTAAGGTCACCCACAGGTTCTTGAAAATTGTGCCTTTAAGTGAAATGAGGTATAGCTGGCCCTTGAATAATGTTGTGGTTTCATTGAAAGTCATTTAGTAACAATGTTGATGAGGAAAAAAAATTGGTTCCGTTGTATGTCATTTTGGTGCAGAGGAATTTGGGTCTTATTGGACTAAAAGTAGAAAAAAAAGTTAGAATTTAAAGGATGATAAACCGCAGCTCATGCAATACAATAGAGAAATAACTAAATTATGGTTTATAATAATCTGGAATAAAGGTATGCCTTGAAAGCCATAGCTATAGAACAAGATGAAAAGCATGAAAACTTCAATAGCCACAGGGTTAGTGGGCTGCTTCTGGTGGCCCTGAAAAGCTTAAAGAAAGAGAATGTGAAGTTCGAGTCCCTGAATTATTGGCCTAGAACCTCAGCCTGAAGTTCAGGGAGTTTCTGTGATTGTGCTAAAATAACTTCTCGTCTCTTGCAGCTACAGAACTGAGGTTGCTGCAGACCAAGATTTTATCCTGTGTGTTGTGAAATTACTACATCAGTTGAAGTTGCAGCCTTACCAGATCGCTTATTTGGTAATAACGATGTACATTGGGAAATAATGGACTCCGGAGACTTGGAAGGAAAATTCAGGGTATGTTGAATACCTAAACTCAAATGAAGTTTCATTTTCCAGCTGGGGCAGATTAAGTAATACCCCAAAGTTTTGCCTATGTCCTAATTCCTGGAACCTGTGAATATGTTCACTTACATAGCAAAAGGGCCTACGCAGGTGTGGTTAAGGTTAAGGACCTTAGTACGGGGAGACCACTGTTGATTATCTAGGTAGGCCCAATGTTAAAAGCCCAATCTTAAAGGCCCAATCCTTAAAAGCAAAGAATTTCCCCATATATAGTCAGAGGGAGCCCTGACTACAGAAGAAAGATCAAAGAGAGATGCAACACTGCTGGCTTTGCAGGGAGGAAGGGGGCCACAAGCTGAGAAATGAGGGCCGCCTCTACATGCTGGGAAAGGCAAGGAAACGGATTCTCCCCTGGAGCCGCTGCAAGTGAGCACAGACCTGTCGGCACCTTGATTTTAGCTCAATGAGAACCACATTGGACTTCTGTACTACAGAATGTAAAATGATAAACTGGTGCAGCTCTAAGCAACTACATTTTTGGTAATTTGTTACAGTAACAACAGAAAATACAAGAAAGAAGTTTCTTCTTCATTTTCTGGTAAGGCTGTTCTTTCTTAGGTCATATAACTCTCTCACCTAAGGGATTAACTTGCAAGAAGACAATTTTCCTTATACTCTTCTTCATCTGCTACTGATGTTCTTTAGACCTCTAGCCAGAGTTAGATCCCAGCGTGACTCAGGGACAAAGTACAAACTCACACTCAAGAGGAGAATGTTATACACCAAAAAATTAAGATTGTTTCTAAATTATGTCAGCCAAAATCTGTAGAAGGTGTGTGGGTGTGGATTCTAAAGGGGCTAAACTAAGGAAAGAGGAGTATACAGTCGTCCCTTGGTGTCTTGGAGATTAGTTTCAGGATCTACCCCCCCCCCCGCCCCCCCGCCAACCCATAATACCAAAGTCCAAGGATGCTCAAGTTCCTTAAGTAAAAAGGTGTAGCATTTACTTATAACCTATGCACATCCTCCCATATACTTAAAATCATCTCCAGATTACTTATACCTAATACAATGTAAATGCTGCATAACTACTTATGTTGTATTTTTTGTATATTTTTAATTGTTGTGTTATTTTTTCCAAATATTTTTGATCCATGGTTGGTTGAATCCATAGATGTGAACCCCTGGATATGGAAGGCTGACTGTAATTTTAAATCAATCTAAATTTCTTAAGATGGTGAGAGGGTCAAAATTTAATTGGCTAGCTTGAACAGCTGGGTGAATTCTTATTGATTGCTCACTGAGTGACTAAAACTTGGATGCAACAATGTTTTGCTTTGGGTAAAATAGAGATATCATAAATCCCTCGGTATAATATTGTGGAAGGAATCTTAAGACTTAGGAAGAGGCCAGACACAGTGGCTCACACCTATAAATCCTAGCGCTCTGGGAGGCCAAGGATTGCTTGGGCTCAGGACTTTGAGACCAACCTGAGCATGAGTGAGACCCTGTCTCTACCAAAAATAGAATAAAGATGTGGCAGCACACACCTGTAGTCCCGGCTACTCAGGAAGCTGAGGCAGGAGGATTGCTTGAGACCAGGAGTTTGAAGTTGCAGTGAGCTATGATGATGCCACTGCACTGTACCCAGGGTGACAGAGTGAGACTCTGTCTCCAAAAAACAAACAAAAAAGCTTCATAAAAACTTAGGAAGATAAGAAGTGTTGGAATGGATTTTTCATATGTGACTTTCTTTTCACAGGAGACTCCAAAAGATGCTTCCTTCACTAAGGCCTTAGTAAGCACATGATTGTATTTGCCCTGAAAAGTGCTTTCCTGAACATTTTTTATAGGCCAGCAATGCTGGTGGGAGGTTCTATATTTAAAATGAGCTCCTGTGTTTCGGTGAGAATGGGAGGATCTCAGGATGGGAGAGGGCAAGTACAGGCACTGAAACCACAGTGGACATGGCCACCAGGATGTTCCCCAGAATGGCCAATGGATCATATATTCCCTGGGCCTGAGATAGATGGGCAGTCCATTAGTATTCTGCTTGATTTGTGTAACAGAAAACTCTACATCTAGTGAGTAGATGAATAGTGATCTGACCTGGCCACCCTGATGGAGATCACTCCGCCTCTCCCAGTCCCAGACCTGGGCCAATTCACAGACCTGGAGTAATGAGGAGGCTGGTGCTCGTGAAGACAGGTATTAAGAAAAACAGACATACATACTGTGAATCTTCCTATTCTCCCTTCTTAAAGGATACTGTGGACATTTACTGGGTAATTGTGAATCAGGGAAAGTGATTATACCAAGGCTGCTTGAAATTACTGGACATGGCTTTGAGCTGACACCAACTTATGTGATTTGTGACCCCATTGAGGTCTACCAGTAAGAGTGAAATCTTATGGATGATGAAAAAAAAAGGAGCTGGACCTGAATATGCCTCATGTAGGTCTAGTTGGACCCTGAATCACCCCCAGGTTATTTGTCCAGATCATGAATAAATAATTGAAGTAGACATTTTTAACATCAGGCAGAGTTTTCACATTGACTATTTTGATATAAAGAGCCAGGCAAATAGTAAATCAAAAGTAAAATGGTAATAGTAAATAGTAGACCAAAAGGCAAAACCACATCCCGGGGAACCTGAATGATATCTCTATCTCTTCACCTTGCCTATCTGGCTTGTGCAGAATATGGATGGGTTTTGAAGAAAGGCAGAGGGGTGTTGCAAGCTCATGTAGGCATTGACTTCAGTTATAGTTGCAGCTAATGGTGAGTTCTCTGTTCAGATTAATGTGGTCCTTAATAGCTGTTATATAGCTATTGAGCTGACCAATATTTAGTTTTTATTCCAATGAGCTGATAATACCAGAAAGGTTTCTTCTGGTTGTCTCAAGCTGTCATCAACTCTGGCTTTGGGGCACAATTTTGTCCTCAGAGATCTTTTTATTTTTATTTATTTATTTATTTATTTATTTATTTATTTATTTATTTATTTAGAGACACAGTCTCACTCTGTTGCCCCAGCTAGGGTGCCATGGCATCCGCCTAGCTCACAGCAACCTCAAACTCCTGGGCTCAAGCCATCCTCCTGCCTCAGCCTCCCGAGTAGCCGGGACTACAGGCATGCACCACTGTGCCTGGCTAATTTTTTCTATATATTTTTAGTTGGCCAATTAATTTGTTTATATTTTTTAGTAGAGATGGGGTCTTGCTCTTGCTCAGGCTGGTCCCAAACTCCTGACCTCAAGTGATCCACCCGCCTCGGCCTCCCAGAGTGCTAGGATTACAGATGTGAGTCAGTGCACCCAGCCTGTCCTCAGAGATCTTAATCATCTTACTGTCCTTCAACATCTACTTGGCCACACACTGATTATACCATGTGACCATTTTGAAGGGTAGAAGGTAGCAAGATATATCCCTGTCGCAGGGTGAGCGAGGGTGCCCACAGCACAGGGATTGCCACTCAGTCATTTCTGGAGTCCAGCAATGGGCAATATGTTAGAATAGCTCCTACACGATGAAGCCCAATTGGAGGTATTTTAAGCCAGAGGCACACCATTTGGTAGGCCTCTTTGGATTTGGAGAAAGCATGCACCACATTTGGATGTGTGGCTTGCAACTGGTTGCCAAGTGAGCGCCAAAGCTAACAACTTTGAATGGAGCCCAGAACCAGGAAGGCTCTCTGGTTAGGCCATGGCACAGTTCAAGCAGGTCTGCCACTTGGCCCTTCTCCCAGCGGACATCTGAGTACCAGATGCTGGAATGGAACCCATGGTAAACTTTGTAAGAGGGTGACTGTGGGGACCCAAGGGAGTTGGGATAAGCTATGCTTTCTTCAGCAAGTCACTTTATCCTTTTGGGAACTAGCCATAGGCCAGCCCTAGGGTCCTGGCAGGGATTGAATGCCAGACCATGGGGCAGCAGGTTACCTTGCGGTCTGAGCTGTCCTTTATAAACTAATCTTACTATCAGATGCCTCTAGAAGCATTCCATCACCAAACGAAGGCTACAGATGCAGGAATGGGTTTGAGCAGGTCCTGAAGACACAAGTAAGTAGCATTTGCAGATGCTTATTCCTGTCATACGGCAACTGCTTCCCCCAAGCCACACCTGTGTTATAGGGAGTTCCCACAAGTGTTATAGGGAGTCTCCTGGGACCAGGTGACTGAGGAGAAAGTAAGTTACATCTAGTTTTTAGATGACTTTGCCTACTATGCTGGCAGCAGGCAGCAGCAGAAGCAGCTGTGGCACTGCAGCCCCATTATAACATAGCTGTTCACAATAGTGGGGCAGGGAGCTGCTGAAATCCTCCCTGGGAGCAAGGTGTTGAGCAATGCACCTCATCCAATTTGGTTGGAGGAACGGGTGGCTTAAAGGAAATATCCCTACAGATCAATGGTAAGGGGAAGAGGAAGGACCGGCAGGCAGAGATTATTGATTTGACCAGATGTTTAGAGATTTGGAATGATCAAGGTCAGAAATTTAATGATAAATAGATTTTGGGGTTAGGTAGGGGGATCTAAAATATATTTAACAACAAGCATAATATACAGCAGAGGCGTTGGCTCCCGTGATGAGCCACACAAGGAAATCCTAGAGGGAAGATAGTCAGCCATGAGCAGCCACAGCCTCAGGATGCCTGAAGGCCCTGATGGGCACCAGATGTCACCTGCTAAGGTGTCAGTATCCCACAGCAGCCCCTGCTCCTGGCTTCTGGCCCTGCTTTACCTAGGGAGGTATGCAGCGCTGGGACCAGTCTGAGCAGCCCCAGTGAGCTTGCTGGAGGGTCGCTTCTGAGCAGCGGCAGAAGAAATCGTTGTCAGCAGCAGAAACCAGCCCTGAGCCTCTAAACCAGGGTCCTCAAACTTTTTAAACAGGGGGCCAGTCCACTGTCCCCCAGACCATTGAAGGGCCGTTGGAGAGTGCGGC